TGGACTGAATGACACCATTGGCTTCGCTGAGTCTCCAGGTGCAACAACAGATCGTGAGTCCTATAGTTAGGGGGAAATCAAGGTGACGTGGAGTTTGGCAGTCAATTTTAGATACAGCTCCAAAATCATAACCCAGGAGAAAAAAAACAGAAAGTTGGGCTTTATTAAAATCAAAGACTTCTTCAAAAGACACTGTTAAGGGAATAAAAAAGCACTGGTGAAAGAAAATATTTGCAAAACACCTATTTGATAAAGGACTGATATCCAAATATACAAAAACTCTTAAAATTCACATTAAAAAGATCAGCCCAATTTAAAACGGGAAAAAGGTGCAGGAATATGGCTAACCAAAGTAGGTGGACAGGTGACAAACGAGCTCGTGAAAAGGAGCTCCACATCCACGGCGTCAGGGACCCGAACCTTTACACAATAAGGGAACCCCCACCCACCTGTCAGCTAGCTGCACTGACAGCACCCACCGAGGCCGGGATGGGGCGAAGCATCGGGAGCTCTCAGTCGCTGCAGGCGGGGTGCAAAGCAGTGCGGCCACTTGGAAGACAGTTCGTAAGTTTGTTACAGAACCACACGTAGTCTTCCCACTTGGTCCAGAAGCGTGCTGCACGGTACTTACCAAATAACTCCAGAACACGCCCACGTGAAAGCTTGCATCAGAAAGTTCAGCGGCTTTATTCGCCGTCGTCCAAACATGGAAAGAACCAAGATGGCCTCCAGCAAGATGAGGAGACAACTGGTAGGGCATCTGGACAGTGCACTGTGACTCGGAGATGAAATGAGTTCTCCGTCCCTGAAAAGAGGAGGAAGACGGGCTGGGGTTGTGGCCGAGCAGCTGAGCACTTGCCTAGCACAGGTGAGGCCCTGGGTTCCATCCTCAGGACCACACAAAAATAAATAAAAAATAAGATAAAGGTATTGTGTCCAACTGCAACCGAAAAATAAATATTAAAAAAGGAGAGAGAAGGAAGAAACCCAAGTGCCTGTGGCTAAGCAGCAGCAGCTAGTCTGAAAAGGCAGCTGGTGTATGGAGTCCACACATGACTCCCAGAAAGGCCCTGGGATGGTGTGGATATGAGGTGAACGTCTCCTTAGTGCAGGGATATCCAGAGGTGAAATGATGGGACTGTGAGAGCTGTCACCTAACCAGTCCAGCCTAGTGGGTGGTAACTGCAGGCAGGCGGGGCCTGGCTGGAGGAGGTGCTCATGCTGGAAGACCTAGAAGGTGCATCTGTCCTGGGGCCCCTTCCTCCTTCCTTCCCTGCCCCACCCCCGCCCACCCCTTCCCTCCCTCTGGACCCTGCCAGGAGTGACAACTTTCCTCCACTGGAAGTTCCCCAGTGATGGGCCGCCTCACCTTGGGCTCAGAACAAGGTACTTGGCCCTCTCTGGACTGAGACCTCTGCAACCCGTGGGCCCACCTAAGCTCTTCCTCCCAGGTTGCTTTTGTTGAGTGTTTTAATCACAGCAAAGCAAAACCCAACTAAAACAGGTAATACTATGGAGACAGTGGACAGGTTGCCAGGGGCTCGGAGAGAGGAAGGGAGCAACTAGGAGGTGGACACAGGTGAGTTTCAGGCTCCTCTCCATGATACACACTGAACAGGACTGGATCTGAAGCTCTCTGTGTGATACAGTGGTGGCGGACACAAGTCAGTGCATAGAGCTACACCACCAAGAGGCACTCCCGCTGACAATGACATGAACCTTAGTCAACAACAATGTATCAACCTCAGCAAATCAATTTTAACAATGTAACATACAATATACCATTTTAATAATAATAGCAGTGTGTTTGGTCAGGGAAAGGGATATGTGAGAAATATCTGTTCTTTCTGCTTAATTTTCTTGCAACTCTAAAACTTAGACCTGATTTTTTTCAACTCCAAATTATAAAATCTACAAATTTAAAGAATAAATGAAAAATAAATAAGATTTTTTAAATAATCAATGAGGATAAATTTTGTGGCATCATTTCTTCTACTTTTATAGATGCTTCAAATTTCTATAACAAATTTTTTAAATGTGCATACCCAGAAATTCTTCATCAAGGATTTTAGCACATAATAATCAAAGATTCATGTCAAAGGGTTATATAGTGTTATCAGTAATGGCAAACAATTAAATAGATATTAAGAATTGTCTTAAGTAAATTGTGCTTCTTTTATAGGATACTATAGGACAGTTTCAAAGAGGCAGCCATATGGGTTCAACAGAAGCCGGTGATGGAAGGAACAAACCCTCTTTCTTACTCAGGAACTTAGACTAAGAAACTAGACTCCTGCCTGCCACATGGTCAGTCTTCAGTGAATATTGGTTGGAAAAAAACCTGGAGAATTATTATTATATATTTTAAACCAAGGTACAAAACAATGTGTTTATAGTTTGCCTTTGTTTAGGTAAAAATGTAAATATACACCTGAATATATATTTCATAAGCTAGAAAAATACATCAGAACCTGGTAGCCATGAAGAAGAAATAGAGAATGAGAGGAAGATTTGACCTCATTATGTTTGTGTTTATAAATAAAATTCTCCAAGAGAAGGAAAGAAAATAACAAAAACCTGTAAGAACTAAAGAATGCCCCAGTTGAGATGTGGGCAAGATGTGAGCAGACAGCTCACGAAAGAACACGGAGCATGTGAAGAGCTCAGACCGCCATAAAACAGGGCCAAGAAGGCAACCCACCATCCCCCTTTACCTTGGAAATTTACAGATGACAAGATTCCCAAAATGCAGAGTCGCTGGACAGAGAGAAATGAGCCACTCCCGGCCTGTTGACGCAGGCAGCCAGACACACACTGGTGAGACACATGCGTCCTTTCCCGAGGGCAAGCCAGCCCTCCACAACTTGTAACAAAGGGAACAGTGACCTTGAACTCACCCTGTCTAACTCCAGGAATCAGGCAAATGTGAACAGTTGTTGGCACAAGGAGATCCAAAGCAGGTAGACTCACTGTCCCCGGGAACTGTCTGCAGGTAGAGCAGGTCCCCAAAGTCAGTATACACGTTCATGAAATGTCATGCAGACCTCGTCACCGTCGGCCTCTCTCCTGCCAGGTTCGGAAAGCTGTTTGCTCCCACCTGTGCTAGGAGTAAAGAGGACAGTCCCCATTTTTCACAATAGGAAGGCACACAGGTGTCCCTCTTGGCCAAGTGCCATCCCACTGGGGACTCAGGTTTAAAGAAAGGAATAAAGGAAGCAGGGTGCCAGGTGGGGTTTTCTTATGGAATTTGACCATTCTCAACTGAAATTACTCAGGGCTTGAAGGTATACAGAGTCAGCCTTTGAGTCGAGTTTATTATAAAAGTTCAGATTTATAAAATTTTCTAGAGAATGTCAAGACTCAGTATAAAACTTCGGTAATCAAGACAGTGTGGGAACAGGATACGGCCTAGGGGACCGAAAAGAGAGCCTGGAAATAGAGCCACCCTTACGTGGGCGTCAGGTATTGACATAGATGACCAAGTAGTCCAGTGCGGACAGGGCTGCCTTTTCCACAAACAAGGAAGAGAGACCAAGAGAGAGAAAGAGGGAGGGAGGAAGGGAGGGAGAGCCACTGGATGATCTATGTATTTTAGAAATCTGTCTTTACCTTGAACTAGTCACAAAATATTCAAAGTGAATAACAGACTTAGTAAAAGCCAAAATTATACTTCTATAGCTTAAAGAAAGCATAGAAAGATATTTTTTGCTACCTAGGGAGAAGGTAAACATCTCTTAGGACACAGGAAACAATAAACATGAAATAAAGAGGTAGGCAAATCAAACTTCAAAATAAAAGTACATCTTTTACAAACATTGTTAAGAAAATTGATAGGCTAGTCGCAAACTGAGGGAAATATTTGCAAAGCACATACCTGCTAAAGAACTATGTCTAGCCAATAGCAAGGATGTGTGTAATTCAATAAAAGACAAATCGCACAGAATCGGAAACTTGTAGAGAAATAAGGTCCAAGCGATGCTCAGTGGGGAAAACTTACCTGAAAAAAAGAATTCGCTGATATCACCACAACCCTCATACTTCACCCAAATTATTCAATCATTATTGAATATTTTTAAAAGGTAACATTAGCCAGGCGCAGTGGCTCACACATGTAATCCTACCGGCTCAGGAGGCTAAAGCAGGAGGATTGAAGGTTCAAAGCCAGCCTCAGCTGCCAAAAGCCATCCGTGAACTGTGCATGAACCAAACTGGCCTGGAAGCCATTGGGTAGGAAAGTCTGGTATCTGGTCACTCCCAGCAGCACTCCTGCTGTCTTGAGACCCCCAGGACATGGGACTTCCTACCTGGCTGTCAGGTTTAGCACTGCACTGGAGATGGGGGGACCGGCTGGAACCACATAGCCACACAGCCTCTCAGAGATGGGTGTGGCCTCCCAAGATGCCAATCATCCTGTCGACTGTAAGACTCCATCCGCTGAAGCCTCATCCCACCTTTGGTGTACTTACTCTCCCTTAAGTAAAGGGTCGGAACCGTTTTCTAGTTATTCAGATGCAGCTCCTCCTGGCACCTACCACTGCTCCTTTCCCTTTTAAATCTGATTTCTGGATCTGTCTCTTACTTCTTTAATAATCACTTCAGACTTTCATTTTCTCAGGTGGCTCATCACCTTCTGAGCAGGAAAGAATCCTGGTGGGGTGCTGGCCACCACATGACACTCAGCAAAAGCAAGGCTCTAAGCAACTCAGTGAGACCCTGTCTCTAAATAAAACACAAAATAGGGCTGGGCATGTGGCTCAGTGGTCCAGTGCCCCTGAGTTCAATCCCTGGTACCCCCAAAATAACAATAATAATAACATTAATTGGTATATAGACATCTCCATTAAAAAAATAAATATGCCATAAAAATAAAAGTGTTCTATCTATTAATCTCATCCTAATTAACTCTTTGGGTAATAGTCGCCAACTTTAACTTTGGGTAATAATCACCAAAAACAAACAAACAAACCCCCCCCCCCACACACACACACACACAAACTGAGTTACATATAAGTATTATATTTTATTTCACAGTCTTTTTTAAAAAATATAAATCACTAGGTATTTTGGAAAACATACACAGAATAATCATTTAAAAGTCACAATGTTACAAAAATTAAAAAAACCTGCACAATAGATCAAAATAAACCGTGGAAACACTCTGACTTAGGAACACACAACGGGTACTAAGAGGGCGAGGGGAACCTGCACTGTGGTTTCTTTATCGTCCTTTGTCACCAAAAGCAATCCTGAGACCTACTCCCAAAACATTCATGAATCCCAAGAGGGTGGGCAACATACACGTCAAGTCAGCATCTTGAATTCAGTTCCAAAGAACCACTTCTCCTCTTCCTCGGGGAAACAAGGTCCACTGCAGGGTGAGACAATGAAGGCCAAGGGACTCCAAGCACGGCCCTGGCCACACTCTCCCACCTCTCTGCAACACAAGGAAGTGCAGGATGTGGACTGTGTGTCCAATACCAGAGCCACTGGCGCCATGTGGTTAGTTTTCCTTATTGACATAAGTAAAATTTCAGAGTTACCTACTCAGTCACTTCAAGTGTGCACCAGCCACATGTGACTAGTGGTTACCATATCGGAGACTGCAGATAGGGAACGTTGCTATCATCACGGAAAGTTCTCTGGACAGCCTTGGGTGTGGGAAGTGATTCTTCTCCCGCTGCTCTGCCAGGATGTGGGCTGCTCGTGGAAGCAGCTCCGAGAGGCGATTCTCCCAGGATATTCCTAGCTTGGTGGCAGAGTCATAAGAGGAAGCAAGGAAGACTTTCTTTGCATAGACTATCTCCCTGGTGCATAAAAGGGATGGTCTTTTTTGGGCACCAAATATGCAAACCTAGATTCCACTAAAGTCCGACTGACAGGAGTTAGGGAGGACACAGTGACGGTAATGCAGAAGAGCAAGGCTTCGTGCTCTATCCAGCCTCCACAGAGAGACCATGTCCCCCAGAAGATGCCCACACGGGCAAGCCTGCCCACGCCCCGTGGGAACACCTGGCCTCTTCCCAGCCCTCACTCCAGCTGAGCAGGCTGCCTGGAGTTCTACCAGCTGGGAAGGGGCCACTGTCTCAATCCATTTCGAGCATTGTGCTCCTTCACAATGGGATTTTGTCACCAGGGCACAGATGGCTACTTGTCCACTTGAGATGTGCTGCCATCACCCCTCACCAAGAGAAGGCAGATTTTGGTTGAAGGCATTGCTCGAGCCATCTCCAGATGGCAGCAGCCAGTAACAGGGGGCTGGCCAGTGTTGAGCATCTGAGAAAGCTCTTCAAAAGGAAGTGGATTCAGACTGCACAGCCAGCTGCCCCCTTGGGCTTCCCCTTCTGGTGGGGAGCTGTAGGAAAAAGCCAAAGGTGTCACCTGAAGCCTGACTTTCTGTGAGCTGGGAGCCAACACCAGTAGTCACCCACCTCCAAAGCACGTCAGTGTGAGTTACAGGAAAAAGAACAAAGCCCTAAGTGAGCCACTGTTTGCCAACTTCCTACTCTGTTACGGAGACAGCCATCCAAGGGGGATTTACATCTGAAAGAAAAGACGTCCTGTCTGAAGATTCTGACGTGGTAAGTTCAAGTGACTTCACAGGCACACTAGTAAGACACAGGCCGCGTATAAGGACTCCCAGCTTCAAGTCAGCCTCCTCTTGGGATCTCCCTGTAAAGAGAGAACGGCAGAAATGGTCAGACTCGTTTAATGAAGCAGCTGAGGAGATGGATTTTTAGCTTAATCCATAGGAAACTTTGCCTGCGTGCTTATCCTGTTGTGATCGCTCTTCAAACACGGTTCTGCCCTTTGGCTTACCTATGCATGGTAACATGCTTACTTCTCAGGTCATCAGATCTGTATTGAATCCACACTGTTTTGAAATTTTGTATGGACAAAATAAGCAATGGAGAATTGAGGAATTTGTTTCTCTGATTCAAACAAACAACAAAACATCGACATCAAAGATCTACAACTCAATTCTTAACTTTCTCTTGAATGTGACACAGACATCAGCAGTTACAGCTAATGACCCTAGAGTTTTGACTATGAATTTAGCTTAAATAAGCACAAGTACCACAGACTAGCTATGAACACTGAAACAAAGCACAGAACTCTGCAGATACTTCCTATGTACTGCATTAGTGTCTTCAGTGTTCTCAAAGTCAGAGATCAGTATGACTCACAAAAAGTCAGTGTTTCCCACTATCCAAAAATGTTTTGACCATTACAATGCTTAAAACTTTTAAACATTTAAAATTCGATTCTAGTGCACTTATTTTGAAATGACAGACAAAATTGGGAACGTGGAATGTCAAGTCGAAAATAGGGAATCGCGTATTTTTTACTTACCTAGTTCCAACTTTCCACCCCTGCAAGGGAACCAAAAACAAATCCTGGCATCTTGTCATTCCCAGAAAAGCCAGTGCACGGCACACTCGGGTAGATTTATCTTATGCTGCAGAATCACACCAGATGGCATCAATCCTGCATCTACAGCTGTGCCCTAAAATTGAAGTTCGGGCTCGGGAATGTGCTTTATTAGACATTTTAGGTTTTGCAGGTGTGGATGTGATGTCATTTTCATCCAACTTGAATGGGTTATCTTTCCAAGCAGAATTGTGGATCCACTTCACTTACAGGCTTGGAAATGAAGAAAACAATCTGGTTGTCCTAATAAGATTGGAAGTCATTTTGAACCACTGAAATTTAGAAATAATGAAATTTGAACACTTGAAATAAAACACTAATATTGCATTATTGAATTATGGCTCATTTCCTTATGATGGAAGACATTCAACTTGCTAACATTACTGAAATCACTAAAGACCTTTTGTTGAAAACAAAACATAGGAACATTTCCTAATCAAGTTATGCTTATAAAATGAGCAGTTATTTTAAACATTCCTGACTTTTTAAATGCTTTAATGTCTAGTTCATATTTACCTCACCTTTAAAAATAGAATTGGCGTAGCAACTGTGAAAAGCCAGGGCATCCCTGGATGAAGCACAGAAGAGGCGGAACCAGGGACCTGGACCTGGGAGCCATCAAAGCACTCCATCTGGATCGAGAACTCGTGAGGTTTAAAGTAGTTCTGATTGGGGAGGTCAGTACTATGCTGGGCCTTGGGAAAATTATGATTGGAAAAAAAGTGAATAAGAAAAGGCAATTTGTATAGGGCATCAAAGTTTCAAAAGCAGAATCCCTAGCAAAGTCAAGGCCAGGAAGGGGATAAGTGCAGCAGGCAGCTGTAAGAACTAACGTGAGAAACTCTAATGCCACGTTTAGGGCTAAGCTCCAAGCAGAACATGGGCAAAGGAACAAATGTTCTTTTTTGACCTGGATAAATAAGAACTTAGTAACTAGTGGACTTGTGTGCCAGGAGGATATATAATGGCCCTGGACACAAGATAGAAAGGCAGCCACTCCTCTCAGGAACCCAATTCAGTAGAACTTGTGGAGAAACCAAGTCAATGCTGAGATGGCAACACACTACTCACCCAGACTTCCCCCTGGTCTCCCATTTAAGGAGGTCGGGGTGGGGTAAACTTCTAGACTCCAGCAGTCCTGCTAGGAAGATTAAAGGGTTGAAAAGTCCAGGAGCCAAGCACTAGTTAAAGTCATTTGCCCTCTGAGTATTTGTGAAATGTGGAATGGTTGTTTTCTAGCCTTATAAACAACCTTAATTGCTAATTATGCCCACATTCATGTGTTCATCTTAACCACACAACCCTGTAACTAAATGCCACTGCAGAGGTATCAACCAATTAGAGGCTATTGTTCAAAGCTCAACATGATTCAGTGCAGCTGATTCTGGGAATTCAAACTGGAAACTCAAATCAAGTCTTACTATAACTCTGAGAAAGACATAACAAAGAGGTGAGAATTTGCTCATGTTGTAAAAGTTAAAAGAAAGCACTTACTTCATTTAAGAACAGCTGAGCTTGGACAAGTGAAATAGAAAATGTGGGAAACCATCTGCATGTCTCAGACCAATACCAACTCACCTAAGTGAGACTATTTCTTTCTTTCCTTTGAATTATCAAAACAATTGTCTTCTACTTCAATTCTGTATTATCTGCTTAGGCAAAATTTAAATATGTTCCTGGTTTTAGCTTCTCTACTCTACATCTCATTGTGTCTAAAAGTAACAGATGTTTCCAATGTTACTACCTGATGACAAACCCAGCATCCGAAAGCCCAAGCCTTCTCTGAGTGAAAAGAAATCATACCTGCATCACTTATTTCCCTTCCGGAGCCCCTGCCCTGGTTTCTCAAAGAGCAGATGACTGCTAACCTTGTCAGCATCCCACACACCTCTCATTTCCATAATCCTCTACCTAGACTTGGGTTCCTGAAATGAACTAGCCGCCAGCCTGGCCGCCTGGTTTCAGCAGAAGCTCAGCAGTTCGGAGCAGGAGACAGCCCTTTACCTAGGGTCCCCATTTGCTGCATCATGGCCCTCCACTTATTAGGCCCTGGGTCTTCAGAAGTTTAGGCACAACTAGGGACAAGGTGAAAGTGGCGTGGTCCCAGCTTACCCTTGGCAGACAGCCTGGGTGGTCCATCGCCAGGCCCCTTGAGGGCTCCAGGCTGTAAGTGCAGCTGAGGTGCTTGGCGCTCGGTGTCCATCTAAGTGCTGTTGACGACCTAAATCTGGGACAAAGTGTCTGGAAGATGAAGTTATTTCCTCAGTAGCATCGCCTGGAGAGTACCCAGACCCACGGCTGAGTCTAATCCTGCCGACCATCTTCCCACTAGAGATCTAGAAGCCGCAGACGCACTGGCCGTCCTCTTTGTCCCGTGGCCCTACGCTAGAGGACAGTACCCCTTTCGCCGGCCCTCGATGCCATCCCCAGAAGCTCACAGACCCGCCAACCAGAAGGCATCTTCCACATGAGTCTCTCACGCTCACCCTCTGCGGTCCCAGGTTCTACACCCCCCTGGGAGGCGCTCCCGGGCTGAGTAGGGATCGAGGGCAGGAAGGAAGCCCTCCACCCAGAGGCCCTGAAGCCTCGGTCCTGACGGCCAGTGCAGCTCTCGCCGTCTGCGAAGCGCAAAGCTGTAAGGCAATGACCGGGTGCTGCAGGGCGCCGGCCCAAGGCTCCTCCGACCGGGTGGATCCCTAGGTGGCCGGCGGGTCTTGCTGGGAAGCGGCGGGAGTGAATGAGCTGAAGGGTATCATTTCCCCCTCTCGGGGACAGGACAGCGGGCTGGAGAGGAGCTTGCAGGGCAGGCGCCCGAGCCCTTCCGACTGCCCTCTCTGTCCTCCTCTCTGCCCGCCCGGGCTCACAGCCTGGCCGCCCCGGCACTGGGGTCCCACCCTCGCCGGCCCCGACCTGCCGCCTGCGCACCTGGACGCGGCGGACCGCGGCCGCGGGCTCACACCGCCTGCTCGTGCGGGAAGCCCCAGGGCTCGCGGTGCAGCGACAGGCGCCCGGGCTGGAGGGTCCCGGCCGTGCTGGCCACGGAGTTCTTCAGCTGCTTGATGACCACGAAGAGCAGGAGGAAGAGCAGGAAGAGCAGGAAGAAGAAGAGCGCCAGGTAGAGCAGCAAGTTGAGCTCCCACTCCATGCTGCCCGCGCGGCCGCCGCCCGCTCCCCCGCGCCGCGCAGCTGCGGGCCGACGCGCCCCGCAGCCGAGGACCCGGGCGCGACCGCCGAGCAGGCGCGAGAGCCCGCGCTCCGCTCAGGTCCCCCTCTGAGGTCCCCTCTGCTCCCGGAGTGCGCCTGCAGATTTTCGTAAAGGCGAACTGGGGCAGGCGGGGACAGCGACGAGGTAGCCGCTCAGTCTCCAGGACGTCGGGCTGGTGATCGGCAGAGGAGCTTAAGATTTCCACTGCAAGCACCCGCCTGGCAGGGTCCCTAGTCCCCTCCCTTCCTGAATAAAGTCTTTTGTTACCCCCACCCCCTTTCTGAAAAGCTAGGTGACATGTGGCCAAAGACGCGGAAGGACTAAAGGGGACAGTGAAGATGGAGTCCCCAGCGCCACGGAGGGCTTCGTGCCAAGAGATGGCTTACTGGGACCTGAAGTCCACTTGACTTAGCTCCAGTGCTCCTTGGAGGTGCAGATGCGCTCCGTATGAGTGTACTTCATTTGGAGGACAGGTCCTTAAGGAAAACACTCAGAATAAAACGCATTTCCAAAATTGTTGTGAAAACTTTCAAATGGTGGCTTGAAATTAATTTCTTTGAGGAGAAAAGAAAATATACTGAAAGTGCCCCCTGAACCCCAGCACCTCTCAGTGTTTGACTGAGGTCCCCAGAGCCCATAAATGGGGCCTTGAAAGAGGTTCAGTTTCTCTGCTGTTGTGCAACAAGTTGCCTCAAAACTTAGAGGCGTGAAGCAATGTAGGTCCTTGGCTATCCTCCAGGTTCCTCTGGGTCAAGATTGAGAGCTCAGCTGAGTGAGTCTGGCTTGGGGGTTCTCAAAAGGGTCCATTCCTGCGGGAGCTGGGGCTGCAGTGCTCCAAGAGCTTCACAGGCTGCTGTGGTCTGGCATGAGCTGGGTGGCCCTGAGAGGCCTGGTCACCCCTAGTGGGCTTCTCCACAGAGCTGCCTGGGTGCTCAACTCCAGTGTGCCTACCACTTGCTTGAGAGGCCCCTTGGTCACACAGGCCAGCCCTATCCACACAGGAGTCCGGGGTAGGAACACAGGATGAGATCAGAGGAGGCATCTGGAGTCAGCCATCACAGCCTCTCGGCATTGCCCCGCTCTGGGAGCCTCCATTCTGTCCTTCTTCATTTGTCAAGCTTCACGAGAGCCCCGGGGGCTGAGTGGGCAGCCGAGGCCTGGCCAACACAGCCAGCTTGTGTGGTGGGCAGCTGTTGCAGTGATGGCAGGGCTCCAAAGACAAGGGCCTGGAAGCCCAGGGCCCGGCGCCGCCCCAGCTCCACCTGCCAAGGACACTCTCCCTCTGCACCCCTCAGTCCGTCACCTGAAGCCATTGCCTTTTCCTTGGATTTGTTGTGAAGATAAAAAGTGAGCAGGATGTTGATAAAGATCCATTTCTATTATTATTCTATGATCCAGGGTCTGCACTGTTGAAGGCCATTGTTTAAAAAAAAAAAAAAATCCGGGTCTCTCCACTAAGCATCGTATGGACACCTGTCCCCTTGTGTTATAATGACCATTGAGCTGGGGATGTGGCTCAGTGGTAGAGCCCTTGCCAGATGTGTGGGGCCCTAGGTTCAATCCTCACCACACACACACACACACACACACGCACACACGCACACACGCACACACGCACTATGATGATCCACTTCATGGGCAGTGTTGTGTGGAGCAGGCTCATGACTCACAAGAATACTTGTTAAAATTTTAAAGCCAATTGTTAAAAAAAAAACCCTATTGTTAGAAAGTAAATTATATTGGGCTGGGGATGTGGTTCAAGCGGTAGCGCGCTCGACTGGCATGCGTGCGGCCCAGGTTCGATCCTCAGCACCACATACCAACTAAAAAATAAATATTAAAAAATTTATCTTTCTCTTTCTCTCTCTCTTTAAAAAAAAGAAAAGAAAGTAAATTATATGAATTCACAAATAAATGTTAACAAAAATATAATACAGGCTCAAGACTCTTGCTTCCTAAACATTTCCCACTTCTGCCTCTGTGGTTGCTGCATGGTGGAGACAGTTCGTGATGCACATCTCTCTCTTCCCAGCTGTGTTCAGTGATGTCATCCCGGTAGCTCGAGACTGGCCAGAGTAGAGTGTCTACCCCGAGGAGATGCACAAATGCTTTAACTCAGGTCCAGAGGCCGGTCCTCAGACATCTGAAGTCTCATGCAAGTTAACAGAGTTGTGATTTCTCTGACTTCCCAGAATCCACCCCCTCCACGAGCACCACATGTTCCTCTTGTGGAATTCTCCATTCTATGTAATCTTGGCAAGAGAACAGCTCCCAGTGCCTGCTTTCCGTTGCCTCCTCCCAGTAAGGAAATGAAGGGGATCAGATATAGCGCCTACCCATCCTGGAACAGTGTGGGGAGAAGGGCAGGAAGAACCTGCCAGAAGCTCAGCCAAACATCCTGATTCCAGCCCGGAGCCTGGAGCTCACAGAGCAGGAGGAATGTTTGGAGGAGTCGGATGTACTCCAGTACGGCTCCGAGAGCCAGCGCAGCCCCAGCACTGGCCTGGTGTGGCTTCTGGCCCTCTTGCCTTCTTTCTGTTCTGTTACCTCCACTGGTTTTCCAGGGAATCTTGTTGCAGCTGAGCAGAGCCATTAATCCCAGCTAACAGAGGAGGGTGCCGACTGGCAAAGAGTCACTTAGCCAGGCACGGGGGCACATACCTATATTCCCAGCAACTCGGGAGGCTGAGGCAGGAGGACGGCAAGTTCAAAGCCAGCCTCACCAACTTAAGGAGACCCTGTCTCAAAACGAAACATAAACAGGACTGAGGATATAACTCAATGGCAAAGCACCCTGGTTCAATCCCCAGTAAACCCCAGCCCTCAGAAAAAAGGCAAGCAAACATCACTTACACACTCTGCACAGAATAAGCTCTCTGAACAAATAAGGAGTTGGGTAGAAAAATCATATGCCATTTGGCATATTGCCCACCAGGTGTCCAAGCCTTTAAAGGATGTAAATCAAAGCAGAGAGGCTAAGTGACCACTGGAGACCCACATCTCGCAAGCAGCAGATCAGGACGTGAGCCCAAGAAATTCAGCAACAGGGCCTGGGCTCCAACCCCCGGGACACGCCCTCTTCACAAGGAAGAGTACACTTTTCTTCTGCACAATTATCAAACTAATGGCCATGTCTTTTTCTTGTGTTAAACCTAACAAGAAATTTCAAGAATGTATTTCCTCACATACACCCCAACTCCTCCTTTTGAAATCTTGAAGGTCTAAACTTCAGAGAGTGCTGAGGGGAAAGGCCCAGGGCTGAACGTCTGATCTGGCCAAGCTCTAACCACTTCAGCCTGCGGAACCAGGACTAGTTAGATTATCCATTTATCTCAGCAACTGGACTGGGTTATAAATATTAACTAATACATCCTCATATCCACTCTCAGTAGAATTTGTATTTAAGATGATATCGTTGCCACACCCACGCAAATAACATTACCCTTATTAGATGCTCCCAAGGGGGTTTAGCCTCCGGTGGTATTTATCTACCTCAGTAAAGCCGTCTGAAATATGGTCTCCATTACATAAATGACTCCACAGAAATAAGACACACTCTTTCTCTTCCTAAATGTGCACATTAATGGAAATCCAGGGAAAGAAATCCCAAGCATTTTAAAGGACAGAAAGGACACCGCTAGAGACCAGAGCTTGGGAAGCTGGCCAGGTAAAAAGAGCCCTCGCGGCTGTGAACTGTGAGGTGGAGGGAATTGTCAATACCATCCCCCCTGGGCCAGAGCGACCCGCCGGCCTGCTCACACAGCCGGCCTCCTCCCTCCTCCACAGGCCTCCTCCCGCCTCCACAGCCCTCCTCCCTCCTCCACAGCCCTCCTCCCGCCTCCACAGGCCTCCTCCCTCCTCCACAGGCCTCCTCCCTCCTCCACAACCCTCCTCCCGCCTCCACAGCCCTCCTCCCTTCTCCACAGGCCTCCTCCTGCCTCCACAGCCCTCCTCCCTCCTCCACAGCCCTCCTCCCTCCTCCACAGGCCTCCTCCCTCCTCCACAGCCCTCCTCCCACCTCCACAGGCCTCCTCCACAGCTTGCAGAGCACCTGGCTGCTGTCCAGGGGCTGCCAGGTGTGGGGAGCCACTCTGAATGACCCACGCCTTCCAGTCCTGAAGCCAGAGGCTCTGAGCAATCACTACACTTCATGGTGACTTGGGTGTTGTCCCAGGAAGTCAAAGGCGTGTCTTCAGGCCTGGGCCTGTCACCCGTGGGGTTGAGCTACACTCACCTATTCTTTTGTAATACTACCCCTTCGCCCTATTGGGGATAGAATGTTCCATGGAAACACCCTTTGTGTGTCCCCTCCTCCTAATGTGCCCTTGGGTGTGGCCTTCCTGGATGTCAGTCAACCTGCTGGCAGCGACATCAGGAAGCTAGACTCAGCCCCCTGAAACCTGACCCCTTCCCTGTTTGAATGGCTTCTCCTCAATAAAAGGGTTCAGCTCTCTTGCTCTCTCTTTCTGCAGACCCTTAAGGTCAGAGGCGCCATCACGGGACTCAAAGAAAGAGGTCTCTCTGTCTCTTGTGGGGTCATTCCGTGCAGCCCAGTTCCCTGGAGTGAGCCAGAGTGTCTTAGTCTAGAGGAGTACAACAGCCAGGTCCTACCTCACCCCGCAGGGGAAGGGTCATTTATCTCAACTCATGGCATAGGCATTCATTGAAAATGACCAGTGGTAGCAATACAGGACCGTGAAAACT